GTTGTCACAAAAAATGGAATAGGTACTTTCAATTATAATCCCTTTAAATTAACCACCATCTGAATTTATTGTAGCGGATAACTAGTCAACTGAGCCATATAAGGTAAAGAAAATAGTACTCAGGGATGTTTCTTTTAATTTATCTTTACCTCTGTGTTAAGCAGATGCTCAGTCTGTAATTCATATAATCATAAGTACATAAGTAGATGTTTATAGTTGGTCACATAAATTCCATCCTCTACTGCCTATTGATCTCCATTGGATATAAAAAAATCTGAAAGTGACTAGTAAATATGCAGATACTTTGTAGACCTCTACAGTTAGGTGAGATGTTTCCTGACCACTTACTTAAATGCTGTGGTATAAATATATTATGTTACTGAATTTTTTATTGCTAGTTATTTTCAGCTATTGCAATACTTTTATTCTGTGCAAAATGTATATCTATTATACTCTGTACTTTATAAGGCTACATGGCAGAACTATTTGGTCTTTCCACTAACATGGTTATTTTTATAGCTCAGTCATATTAATTGTTAAAATATATTAGTTTAAACTTTTTGCAGTTTGCATTATTTCATGTAACAAACACAAACTATAAAAATAAAAGGTTTTTTAACTTCAAAATAGTTTTGGCAATTCAGTGAATACTAAGAAAACACTAATTTCATCTAAAAGTAAATTGCTCCTTAAAATCTGGATGAAGGGCAAATATAGATTTAAGAAACTGTTCATCAATAGAAATTTAGTAGGAAAATTATATTTTGGATATCACTAATTTTCAGTAGAGATTACAACATTATGAGATCTGTTTATCAATGGTGATCTAGAAAAAATCAAACTAATTTTCAAAACATTGAAACAAAATGAAAAATACCGGTTTTCTGGTTTTCTGGCATATCACAGTGTATTTTTTTTAAAATAGCCTGCTGTCATCACTTTCTTTTTAAGACTTCATTTTCTTTAGAGTCGCATTTACTTTTTTTTTGTTCTATAGCTCTCTTTTTCCTTGTTTCCCAACTTCTCTAAGTTTCACTGAATCGCAAAATCAGAGTGAACAAAAAGAATTACCCTGTTCTGTCTCAGCTGGGACAATATCTGCAGCTTGCATTATAAATTTGAGAGTGAAGCTTGTAAAGATAAATTGTTTCTGTTTTCTTTATAAATAACAAGTAAGCTTACCAGTAGAACTAAAACCTTTAAGAGGAAAGTACAATTTTTATCCAACCTCATTCAATTGTAATAGACTTTTCAGTACCTGTCTATTATATTTGTGCCAATATCTTAAGCCATAAATCTTGACAGCTGCTGTTATTTAAATGCAGATCCTTCAACAGGAAATTAATATAAAATCTTGTAAAAGAAGGAAGTGACAATAACTGTACAAAATTAATGGAATTCTAACTAAAGACTATTTTCTCTAAAAACCTTTTCTTTAACAGACTTTCAGATTTCCAAGTGGAAAAAAAAATTAGACCTTAAGGTGTTTGTTTGACATCAGTGGAATTTATTGTGTTTAATTAACTAGAGAAACCTCTCTATTACCAAGAAAGATTCTAATAATCATATTTGTTGTTTGCAAAAAAAAAAAAAAAAAAAAAAAAGAAGATATGTGTTTTAAGCACATATTTCAGTGCTGTTTGCTAGTTATTAACCAAGTACAGTCAGAAAATATCTGGTAAATGAGATCTTAGAGTAGATTAAATAGGATATGAAATAGACATATTAGTGAGGTAGAAGGGTTTTTAACTATCTTTGTTGCAGTGCTTTCTGATAACAGGCTACCCTGTCTTCCAATTCTGATAAACAAGCAAGGTAAAGAAAGTAGCAAAGGCTTCAATATAAAACACTAGCTTCAACTGCAGTTATAAAACAATATCAGTGTTTTCTATTATTTTGGCTGCAATACATCCATGTTTTCTTGTTACAATTTTAGAATGACTGATGAGAGAAGAATTTACCAAAAGTATTAGGCCATTTCTAATCTCAATTAATTTAACAATGAACAAGGCACTAATTTTATTGTAACTCTGCTGGCACCAAAACCAATATGATCTCAGAATATAGGATTGTATGTATTGAATTATATTGACATGTACTCCAAAATTATGAACAAATTATGGTGATTTATTTAATTAAAAGTTTAGTTGCATTTTGATTTTGTCCTTTCCATTACATTTTAATGTATCTTTTGCTATTTTCACATCTACCCAGTCTTTAATTTCTAAAATGTCAAACCCAAAATGTCTTGTCTGAGCAGAGAAATAGCACTGGTTGTGAATCTATATTTACTGTTGCACGCTGAATATAATTTTATTAAAAAAACCCAGTTCTAATTCAGAAAAGTGGTTTTTAATAATTTGTTCTTGAAGAATTTGTTAGTTGTTTTATTTACAGATATTCTCATTGGTGCATAAATAAAACTAGTTTTCTAATGGAGATCTAAAACTCAAACTGAGATTTGAAAATCTCTTTTTTTTTTGACCAGTGGCACTTCCTGCTCAACAGGTTTTTCTATAGTTACTTTTCCATTGTCTTCTTCCCAGTGTTTCTATGTATGTTAGGAGCCTAGCTGAATTAAATGGATCGTTCATGTAGATATGCAGAAGAGTTTGACCTTGAAGTGGAATCCTAGATCACAACTTTGATGATGACCTACAGATAGAAAAAAGACATGGCATTTTGAGGTGAAAAGAGGAAAGAGGAAAGAGGAAGGGTGAGGTGAAGCAAAGTGAAATGAAGCAAAGAGAGATGAGAGCATCCTTCGTAGTTGTATGAACCTTGCAGGAACATAGAAACCCACTTTTTCCTTAAATGTGTATTTACACTTACATGTTACAATATTATTTAACTTCTTTTCTTCCTTTTTTTAATTTTTATTTTTTTTTTAGCAATACATTCCATATTGCATATTTTTCTAACACTCTTTGAGAATGGATCAATGGGGCTACGCTGACCTGCACTTGGGTCGCAACAACCCCATGCAATGCTACAGGCTTGGGCAAGAGTAGCTGAGAAGCTGCCTGGTGGAAAAGGACCTGGGGATGTTGGTCGACAGCCAGCTGAATATGTGCCCAGGTGGCCAAGAAGACCAACAGCATCCTGGCTTGTATCAGAAATGGTGTGGCAAGCAGGACTAGGGAAATGATTGTCCCTCTGTACAATCTCACACTGGTGAGGCAGCACCTTGAATACCATGTTCAGTTTTGGGCCCCTCACTGCAAGAAAGACATTGAGGTGCTGGAGCGTGTCCAGAGAAGGGCAACGAAGCTGGTGAAGGATCTAGAGCACAAGTCTTATGAGGGACAGCTGAGGGAGCTGGGGTTGCTTAGTCGGGAGAAAAGGAGGCTGAGCAAAGACCTTATCTCTCTCTACAGCTACCTGAAAGGAGGTTGTAACGAGGTAGGTGTCGGTCGCTTCTGCCAAGTAACAACTGATAGGACAGGAAGAAATGGCCTCAAGTTGAACTGGGGTGTGGGGTGGGGTTTGGATTGGATATTTGGAAAAATTCTTCACTGAGTGGGTAGTCAAGCACTGGAACAGACTGCCCAGGGAAGTGGTTGAGTCACCATTCCTGGAAGTATTTAAAATATGTGTAGGTGTGGAGTTTAGGGACATGCTTTAGTGGTGGACTTGGCAGTGCTAGATTAACAGCTGGACTTGATCTTAAAGTTCGAAGGCCTTTTCCAACCTAAAGGATTATATGATTCTATTCTATGATTTAAACCAGTTGTTACTCCACTTAAGATAGAAAATAACCTCCACATTAATTCAGTTTTGGAAAATTTTCATTCATGACAAATGAGCAGAAGCACAGAAAAAATAAATTTTCTCCCATACTAGTGGAAACTCCTGCCCCCCCAACTTGTATTTCTTACTTTTACCCTGGAGAGGCCCTTTACTTTTCAGGGCCTGACCCTTACACTATCATTTGCACATCACATTTTACCAAGAGTGCAAATATTATCACCCTATAAGGTTACTTGCATTTGCATGCCCATGTTGTATTGTAAAGTGACATTTAGCAGCATTTACTTTTTTGGCTGCCATTTCCTCTCTTGCATAATATATTTTTCTTACATTAGAAGCTGAGGCACAGGAAAATTTTAAAGTTTGACTGCACCTGTGGGACGACAGTGTGATAGACATCTGTGAAATAAATGCAGGCTTATGGTGAGCAGGTTCAGCTGCAACCCCCTAAAATGACATTTTATAATATGGCAGGCTTAAATGGTAGAATGTTGAACAATCACAGAAAAACATTGCATCATGTAAAACTGTAGTACAAGGGGAAAAATTACAACAGTGTACAAAAGCTGCAGCTGATCTTGCTTGCCATATGGTATGTCACTCACTGTAATAACACTTACATTCCCTCAGTAAGTGCCCTTAAATATCAGGGAGTGAATAAGGCAGTACACAGATTGTAAAAGGAGTTTGTAATCATATACATTATGAACTTTGTACTTCCAGGAATCATTCTACCCTTACATTAACAGAATACCCTTTAAAAATTCATATATCTTAGAACATTCCCAGGGCTAGATAATTTAAAATCCACTTGTGAAATGGTTAAAAGCAAGGCTTCCTTAGTCAATATTAAAACAAACAAACAAACAAACAAACTTTGAACAAATAACTGCTATAATTTCTCTCCCTCTCTCCTTTCAGGATACTGTGATTTTCACACAAATAGAGTTTTTGTATATTTATGCATTTTTTTCAGTGTATTCTGTTCTAAGTGATCCTAATGAGAAACCATCTAGCTCAAGTTGTTTGAAGGATGATAATTTTCTCCTTATCACGTATGTATGGTAAACTGTTTAACTGTTCATTATTTCTCGCAATGCAAAATCTAGAGAGCACTCGACACAAGTTTCAGGCAGCAGTTTTGAAATAAACAAAGGAAGTACTTTGTCATATCACGCCTGTAATTAAATTGTGAAACACATTGCCACAAGATGTTGCAGAAGCCAAAAGTGTAATTATATTCTTAAAAGGACTGAGGACAGGACCATCTTCTCTATTGAACACAGAAGTCTGGAGCCTTTGTCTCAGGAAGTCCCTCAGACTCTTACTGCTGCAAGAGCATGCCAGGAGAAAGGGTCACTATAGGCATGCCTGTACCCCATACTCATGTCTGTCGAAGGAAGGATGCTGGGACAGAAGAATCCTGGTCTTTATTCGATCTGCTATTTTATGTAAGTGTTTACATTGGACTGTATTCAGATCCAGAACCAATTTAGTAATTTCTCGTTTCTTTCACTGGTTACCAAAACATGGAAAAACAAGAAAACAAAACCCATTTACTAAGTTTGGGGTTGGGTTTTGGGTTGGTTTTCTTTTTTTCTTTTTTTTTTTTTTTTTTTTTTCCTGGAAAAATACAAAAGCAAGCTGAATGTGAAGCAAACATGAATCATTACATTATTTGTTCTTTTTAGAATGGGTGAGTTTTTAGAGATAAGCAAGTCACTTCCTTTTCTGACATGCTATAAGGGACAAATTCAGTCCTTTATTCATTATGTGAATAAAGGATTGTTTTGACATTGTTTTCTGATTTTAATATCATCTTCATATATCCTGCAGTTCATTTGTGTGCTGGAATCATCCCTGTCCTATGGAATCGTGAACAGAAGACTGGAAGTTAAATGTATTTTGTTACCTTTTGCAGTTTCTAAGATCTTCTTCCCTGACAGGAAAGTAAGTATTTTTTCCATCAGTTACTTTGTGAGAAATCAGCACTTCTCCTAATTTTATTAGTAGTGTTTCTGGCTGTATGCTGTTACTTAAACAAAAATCTTACTGGTTTATCTGTAAAACTCTTTAGCACCTTTGTGATATAGCTAGTGTGGCAAATCAGTTAAAATGTACCACTAAGAAGAGTCCTGCAGTGACAGAGAAAAAAGCAACTTGTCTTCTATTTCTAAATTCTACAGAACAGTCATTCTCTAGGTGTCACTTAAGGAAGCAAAAGTGGGTTGAGATTAGGATCTGATATCTTACGAGGTTTTACAGGGCAAGATGTGTTCAGCACATATGCCATCACTTCTGAGGTGGTTCCTATCGCATGATGTCTACTATATTTTCTTTTATGTTTTTTAACGTTCCAAGCTAGTGGAGTATACAACAATACAAAATAAATCTCAGTGTGGGAGATTTGGTAAGACTTCCTTGTTATTTTTCCAACAACTTTGACCTTATGAACATGAGTCAGGACATTGTTTTTTCTACTGACTGACAGTTCCAGTTCTTTATGAGACTTCTCTTAGTTGGTAAATGTCCTAATATTTCTGCTCACACTTTTCATGTCCCTACTCACCGTGTCACTTATGGGAACTTCACTCATTTCAACTTTCTCCCACAGCTTTTGTGACCCTGAGAATTTTCTCTGATCAGTTGGTAGGATTATATTTCTCTACAGGCTATTTTCTCTGAAATGACAGGTCTCTTCTGCCAACATTTCTGTCATCACTAGTAATACACAATGTTGGAGAATGCCCTTCTGATTTTTCCTGTTACCCTTTTACACAGTTTACTACAGTATTATTTGTTACTTCTCTCTGTCCTTCCTCAGTAATACAATGACTGAGCCAGAGCAACTGACCTGATAGTTTCATCATCTGGGATTGCAGACATGTCTTTTCAGTCACAGTACTTGGTATCTGGGGATCAGGGTCACTATCAGTCCTTGGCAGAGTGTTTTACATTTCAGGGTACTATCTTGTCTGCGTGATTTACTGACAGTTTCTCAGGAGCTGACAAGAGTGAGCTTCAAGTACATTTTCTTCAGTTATAACATTGGAAGAAAATGTTAGTCGGAGCAAGCAGATTATCTAAACAGAGCCTGATGAGACCGTGTCCCTGTTCATTGATCTTTCTTAATCCATGTTTGCTTAATTCATTCTAATCCATGGCCTTTGCTCCCACTTTAGCTTTGTGATGCCCCACATTCAGCAGCACATCATGCCTCAGCAGTGTCAGTGCATTAGGACTCCTGGATATTATCATCCTTGGCCATTGTCAAAGAGAGAGGACCTGGACAGCAGTCAATTTAACTGGAATTTCTTTACAGAAGATTAAAACAATAACAGCTGTAAAGGGATTATATCTCATTAAGGTTAGAGTTATGTCCCTATGTGGGGGTGCCAATGCCTTCTTATTTTTTGAACATGAGCTTTTAAATGGTAAAATAAATAGCAGTTGAGTGGTAGAAAACTGCTAATGTGTCAGCAATTGTATTTTAGTGTCATACAGTGTTTTTGTGATAGCAATGTCATCATATGTGAGAAATTCAGCTTGTGGGATGTAACGGAGAAATTTGTGAAAAGTATGGTGAAAGCTGGATGCTTTTATGTCATGAAAATATTATTTTCCTGAAAAAGTAGAAGACAGGGATATAAAACTATGCGATTTTTTTCTAGCTTCCACCAATTAACACAAAGTAGCTTTTCCATTACAAGGTTTCTCCCATATTAGGACATAAGAGTAAAATATTGAGTGATAGCATATAAAAGCTTTTCAGCTGTCCTTTAAACTTGTAAATGCAGATGATTTTCACTCCAGAGTATCACTGTGTGTCAGTATATACAGACTACTTGAAAACAGAAAATTTTCGTCTTTATTTTATTTGATAGATATGTTTTGTATCCTTTAACATACATTTTTGATACACCCTTTGGAATCTTAATTATAAAAGATATACTCTTCTGTCTGTCTTTGTTTGTAGAGTGTATCCTATACAAAACACGTGTGGCTTTGAGTCTCTCCAGTGTATTTTAAACTGGTGTTAACATATGTACCTTTAAGCACAATGAACTTACTTGGAATGAGACTTGGCCAACAGAAATTGAAATGAAGAATTAGAAGAAACACAGGTAGGGCTGGAACAAAGAAGCAACAAAAGTATATAAAATGTAGACAAAATGGTTTGAAAAGTTACATGCAATGACCCAGCAAGCCCTGGGGTAGTTCCACAGCAACTTGAACACAGTACATTGTGTATCAAATGGAAACCGTCACTTGCCAGAATCTGACCTTGAAAGAATTATTTGAGTAATATTTCTAGTATGATCAAACAACCTCCTCGTTATTTTAGTCAGTAAGAGGTTTTTGAGAAAGCTCTGTCTGCTAGTTCTTATTATACTCTCTGCTTTCATAAATGGAGGGAGAGGAGTATAGGAAATATAATTTAATTTAGTTTTTAACCTTTTTATCAAGGTTCTTGTTTGGGCTACACTACATGGGTGTCTGAACAGTTTACAAATGTGAATTATTTTACTTTTCCAGGGAAAGAAAATTATTCTTGAGAGAGAGAAAACATAGCAAAGTGAGGCACAAAGAAACTGAAAGTAAAATCTAAAAGTATTGAGGAATCTAGAAGAAAAACTAGGCAGAACTGAGATGTATCAGTCTCAAAAAATGGCAGGATGACACACACTGAAGTTTTCTCCATTTAAGATAATGATTTTATTTATTTATTTATTTAATATCCTGTTACTACTTATGCCAAGGAAATTCACCATCTTGGTTGTGCTGAATAGCTGGCATATACTTTTGACCAAGATTTATGACTAACATTTAGTCTGGCACAGATCACAGCAGTCACAGATGTAGATACTTTTGTACTGTATCCTAATGGTTAAGTCACTCTTCCAAGAAGTAATTCCTCTGTCATGCTAGTCTAGAGGACCCTTAACCCTACATCTCAGAACAGGAGGAGCTGGGTGATGAGGGTCCTTTGCCATTAAACCTCTACTCAAGAGTAGAAACATCATGAGACCAGAAGTAAGGGAGAAGAAAGCTAGGCATTCATTCTTATTTCTATCATCCCAGACACTGTGAGGACAAGCCTAGCTTTTAGCTTCTTTACCCTGGACTGCTACAGCATTCAATCCATTGAGATCTAATGTAAAATGAATAAAACCTCCATGATCAGGTTTTATAATTACCGTCTCTCACATCTCTGCTCTGGCCTTTAAAGTGCAATATCAGATTGCCTCATTTCCTTCCCCCATGATTCTTGTAATCTTGGCTAAATATTGGCCATATCTCAGCAGCTGATGTGGTGGGTTCACTTTCTTGTTTTGCATCTCCACATGCCTTGTAATCTGGAAGGTACATACCTAACAGGTAGGATCTGTATTGCCTGGACAAAAGCGATATGAACCCTCTCCCCTATTTCCTTCTGTGACTGCTGCCTTACCTCTTGATTTTGTTTTTATTTGGGGGGTGGAAGGTTTGGGGGGAGGGGTTGTTTGTTTGTTTGTTTTTTTTTTTTTTCATTTTGTTTTATTTCGTTTTTCTGAAACAACTGCCATTGTTATGAACTGCAATTTTCATGATGTAAGGAGAATGTACATCTGAGGTGTAAAGAGAAGCAAAAGTGAGAGTTGTAGCCCATAATCATCTCACTTATGTACCCAAACATCTATAAATACATAAAATGAACTACTTAATAATGATGACTAGCGTTGCCTTAGGTTTCTCTATAGTTAGTATAGCAAAGCAGACTTCTCCAGAGACAATTTTTCTCTCTGGAGAAAGTGAAAGAATCTCGAGAGAAACTCTGTAGTCAAGATAGATTGTTAACTCAGGTTTTAAAATTATAAAAACACAAAAAATAGATTAGATTATTAGACATTTGAATCTGGGTGAGGTGAATTCTACACATATTTTAAAAAGGAACTTGATTTTTTTATATATTTACAGTATTGGTATTTATAGTATTGGTAGATCCTTATAGAAATACCTAATTTCTGTGAGTTTCTTGGAGCTCATTAGTGTTATTTGAGTATCAAGTAATTTATCTCTCTGGCTTAGTTTTGGTCTTAGTGTACCGACTGCCCATGCTTTATAGATGTTAGTTCTCTTCTGACCCGAGAACGTCCCTCCTAAATTAAATGCAAACATGGTTCAGTGGATTGCACACTACAACAAATGCTCTCAATAGGCATTACAGGTGAGAGGGATTTTTCTTCCCCCGCCCTGAGCAGTCCTTCATGATTATCTACCAGGTTGGGGACCTTCCTACACTCCCCTATGTCCTTGATCACCCCCTCAAGATATGTGACATATGACCACATTTTCATACTATAAAAAACCTTTCAGATGGGCTACAACACAATTGTCTCATTATTTCAGGCACACTAATTTAAATTCCTTTGCTCAACCCTCCCATCAATAATACATATGCACACATACTTACACACAGACACACACACACATACAGATTGACAAAAATATATAAAAATATATATTATATATATATACACATATACCTATTTGCAAATGGAACCTTATATAAGCTATACAAGGCCCAGAAATGATCTAAAGCCAAGAAGTGCTCATGCAAATACAGCTAATCTACCCTAGAGGAGACTACTGAGGCTGGCTGCCAAGCATCCCTCCCTGGGGTGGATGCAGTTAGAAGAGTAGATATAGTCTGGTTTGCTATAAATCATACCCACAACTTTTCTGTACTAGAAAATGTAGCATGCCATCAGGCTGTTCTCTAATCCTTCTTTTTCTACTTTTTATTTAATGCAGATTTCATATCTTGTAATTTTATTGTAAACTCTTTGGGGTAGGGCTTATTTTTACAATAGGGTTGTAGAGCCCCTTCCAATTAAGCAAGACCATAAAATGAATGCATTACAATGTCCCATCTTCCCACCTAAATAAGCCATAAACTTATTTAGTTA